CGTCACAGATTTCACAGACTTCCAAGATGTGGCTCAAGATGATGACCCAAAAATGAAGCCCTCAAAAGTAAGTTTGAAGTTAGATGATGGAATAATACTCATGCCAAGAGGACAAATTAAGCAGCAATCTCAATGCAATGAATGAACATTGTGTGTTCCAGATTGTAAATGTTAAGCAAAATCCACTCATCATGGCTGAAGTAAATCTAAAGCTAGGGTGTAATGACCCTAAATGTGCTAGGCGAGACTTGCGTCCTTTCACAGCCCTAGCCACTGATAAACAAACAGATCCTACAAGATTACAAAGATGTTTTTGTTGGTCTTGGGAATCTTCCTGGTGAATAGCATCTCAAAGTGGATGAGAATGTGAGACCAACACAGCCTGAGGCCAAGTAGGAGCAAATTGCCACAGATGCTGGAATCTATACTGAAAACAAAAAATGCTGGAGATCACAATGGGTCAGACAGCACCCGTGGAGAGAAAGTAAGATAACGTTTCGAGTCTAGGTGACTCTTTATCACCTCTGATGAAGAGTCACGTAGACTTGAAACATTAGCTTGCTCTCTCTCCATGGATGTTGTCTGACCCACTGTGACAATGCAATGTTGGCATTTATTTTGAGAGGATTTGAATATAAAAGCAGGGATGTACTACTGAGGCTTGATAAGACTCTGATCAGGCCACATTTGGAGTATTGCATGCAGTTTTGGGCCCCCTATCTCAGGAAGGATGTACTGGCCCTGGAGCAGGTTCAGAGGAGGTTCGCGACAATGGTCCCAGGAATGGAAAGCTCAACATATGAGGAACGTTTGAGGACTCTGGGACTATACTCATTGGAGTTTAGACGGATGAGGGAGGATCTAACTGAAACTTTCAGAACACTGATTGGCCTGGACAAAGTGGATGTTGGGAAGATGCTTTCATAGGTAGGAGAGTCTAGGACCCCTAGAGGGCACAGCCTTAGAGTAAAGGGAAGACCTTTTAGGATGGAGATAAGGAGAAACTACTTCAGCCAGAGAGTGGTGAATTGATGGAATTCACTGCTACAGAAGGCTGTGGAGGCCGGGTCATTGAGTACAGAGTTAAGACCGAGATAGACAGGCTCTTGATTATCAAGGGGATCAAGGGTTACAGGGAGAAAGCATGAGAATGGGGTTGAGGAACTCATCAGCCATGATTGAATGGCAGAGCAGACTTGGTGGGCCGAATGGCCTAATTTCTGCTCCTATGTCTTATGGTCTTATGGACAGATTGAGGCCAACCTGAAAGACAAGATAAAAGAAATAGAGAAGGAAAGTGTCAAGAAAGTAATAACAACTACAGATTGATTAGCAACATAGTAGTTTGTGGTAGCAGATACAAAAACTGGAAAATTGAGAGAATGCATAGATGCAAATGATGTCAAGAAAGAAGAGATTTCACCACCCCATGCCAACCATTGAAGCAATTCTGCCACAACTTGCCAAGGTAAAGGTCTTGACTAGCTTGATGCAAAGTGTAAGTGAAGCTTACTGGTAAGTGAAGCTAGATGAAAGCAGTAGTTTCCTAACTACATTGTGGACATTATTCAGGAGATACAGATGGTTGCATATGCTGTTAGGCATTTCCGCTGCTCCATAATATTAACTCAGACAAGACAAAATAATTTTATTTTGATAACTCTGTTTCTCTGCCCACAGATGTTGCCAGATCTGCTGAGCTTCTCCAGCACTCTGTGTTTGTTTCGCTCAGACCCACTGTAAGAATTTTCTCATCGAATATGAAAGAAAGTATCTTGGACAAATCACAGCAAATTACACAAGATGCAGCTCTCGAAGTTCTTCAGGAAGTCGGGGTGAAAGGATGGCCTGGAAGTATCAAGGATATACCTGTCGGCATAAGAGACTATTGGACATACAAAGACAAAATGATAGCCCAAGCTGACAGCTGTGCAAAGGAAATAAAGCTATTATCCTAAAGAAATGAAAAAAAGAGATGCCGAAATGCATCCATGCAAACCCTGAAGGAATCACATTTAGTCTGAGGAAGAAAACAGAAGTGCTGTACTGGACAAACCTGAGCCTTAAGATTAAGGACTACACCGGTCAGTGCAGTGCTTGTGACAGCATTAAGGAGCCCTAGCAAAACTAGAATCAATAGGTATGAGTGGGCAAACACTCTGCTGGTTGGAGTCATACCTGGTACTTAGGAAGATGGCTGTGGTTGCTGAAGGTTCGTCATCTCAGCTCTCAGACATCTCTGCAGGAGTACCTCAGGGTAGTCTCCCAGCCCCAACCATCTTCAGTTACTTCATCGATGACCTTCCCTCCATCATAGGGTTAGAAGTGGGGATGTTTGTTGATGCTTACACAATGTTCAGCATATTTTGTGACTCCTCAGATACTGAAGCAGTCCACGTCCAGATGCTGGAAGAGCTTGACCACATCCAGGCTTGGACTGAAAAGAGGCAAATGACATCTGGGCCACTCAAATGCCAGACAATGACCATCTCCAATAAGAAACAATCTAACCATCGTCCATTGACTTTCCATGGTGCCGCCATCACTGAATCTCTCACTATCAACATCCTGGGGGTTACCATTGACCAGAAAATGAACTGGACTAGCCATATAAATACAATCACTGCAAGAGCAGGTCAGAGGCTTAGAACTGAGTAACCCACATCTGACTCCCCAAAGCCTGTCCACCACCCACAAGGAACAAGTTAAGAGTGTGAATTGTCTGGATGACCGCAACTTCAATAACAGTCAAGAAGCCTGACAGCTTCCAGGACAAAGCAGCACATGATTGGTACCACATCCACCCCTTCCGATGCTCAGTAGCAGGAGTGTATACCACCTATAATATACATGGTCAAAATTCACCAAGGCTCCTTAGACAGCACCTTCTAAAGCCAGGACCACCACCATCTAGAATGATAAGGACAGCAGACATATAAGAACACTAACCATCCTGACTTCAAAATGTATTGTTTCTTTCTCTGACACTAGGAGAAAATTCTGGGACTCTCTCCCTAAGAGCATTGTCGGTGTAACTACGGCATAAGGACTGCAACAGTTCAAGAAGGTAACTCACCACCACCTGCATAAGGGCAGCTCGGGACAGGCATTAAATACAGCATCCATATCCCATGAATGAAAAGAAAGTAATAACTAGTGTGAGTGACAAAATCAAGTTGAAATGATAGAAACCCAATGTGATAATCATAAAACTGTCAAGTCATTGCCAACACTAAGTATTGGAGAGCTGGTCAGAGTGCAATTATAGAGAAACTATGGGTCAGAAAGAGCTGATCTCAACATTAGCACAGAGTGCAGAAAGACCAGCAGTCCCAGAGGTCGACAGTTCCCCACAGAAAGAGATCTGCAACAACCATTATCATAGGGGGAGACAGTGTCATAGTAATAATGTCATTGGATAAGTAATTCAGACCCTTGGACTATTGTTCTGGAGACATGGGTTTGAATCCCACCATGGTAGATGATAGATTTGAATTCAATCTGGAATAAAAAGCTAGCCCAATAGCAACCACAAATCACCTCTCTCAATTCTTCTATTGTCCTTAATTTGTTGGTCTAACATCCAGTGTTGAAAGAGCAGGAATTTCTTCGAATTAAATATTGGAATGAGCAAAGCTATTGTCTTTGGTCTCTACTACTTGCTCTAGCCATTAACTCCGTTCTTTTCCCTAGTGACACAGAGGTTAAATGAAATGTTCCAATCTGGATCATATTTGTCATTTTTGACCCCATGATCAGCTTCTAACTACATATCCAAGGCTTCACTAAAACTGTCTATTTCCAATTCAGTACATTACCTAATTTAATCCCTGCCTTAGCATATTTAAGGCTGAAACTCTTATTTATATTTTTCTCATTTCCAGACTTTACAATTCCAACACATTCCCGGCCAGACACTCACATTATACCGTCGTAAACTGGTGGCCATTCTTACTGATTCACCTATCATCCCTGTACTTGCTGACCTATCATGGCTGCCTATTAAATGGTTATCCTTCTATTTTAAAATGATCATATTTGTTTTCAGATCTCTCCGTGGCCTCCCCATCTTCTGTAATCTCCTCCAATCACAGAATACCTCAAGATGTCTGAGTATCTAATTCTGTACACTTGAACATCCCCAATTTTGATCACTTCACCATTGGGAGCCATAAATAATCTATCTTGCCCCCCTCTCAGCTTCACAATTAATTCATTAAATATCACCAACTTTATTTTGTCTTTCCAGATACTCCGTAAAGCCCATCTCTTTGACCATGATTTTGGCCTTCCAGCCTAATTTCACCCTGCATAGCTCGGTGCCAAATTATCTTTGCAAAGAACATGTGGTACACCTTAAGCCATTTTATTATGAAGTCACAATATAGATGTAAGTTGTTGTTGTGACAGGTACTGAAGGAGGAAGTCTTATTAGACCTGTGTAGTTTGGAGATCAGGTTAATATATTTATTTCCCCACTGCATGTCTATGTCTAGCAACACTCTGTGCTGAAAGTGGAACCTTAGGGAGAGAAAGTGGGAATATAACATTTAGACAGAGGACCAGTACTGATGCCATTGAATGGCACAGCAGCCTCAGAAGGCCGAATGGCTTACTGTTGCCCTTAGATTTATTTAATATATTGTCACTTGTACCTAGGTACAGTGAAAAGTGGATAATTTCACCATGTTTCGATGCCATCTTGGATTACAGAATATTACTAAAACTGAAAGTGTCAAAAGTTCATCTTTCCCTCTCTGCTCCTCCAGTTCACCACCATCCAACATCGTCTCCAGGGTCCTGTCAATGTGCTATTTTACCACCACCTCTGCGTCTGCCATACAGATCCCGTACCCCTTCCATCCATCACGTATAGTCTTCTGTCATAGAAATTAGTTAGCGATGCAAAACAACCGTGAACTATTGGATACATCTGTGTTGCCTGAAATTGGCAATGTTTAAGGAGAGGGAAGGGACAGAGGAGAAATCAGTCAACATACCTGCTCCATTACCATCCAGTGGCCCTCTTCCAGTTCAGCTAACGTATATTTGCATGGGCTGAGGACTGAATCAAACTTGATCATCGTGGACCTACAAATCAAATAGACTGATATGAGTCTCAATGATGAATGAGGAAGCAGAGATGGCTGTGGCTGTGAAAAAATGCAGCTAACTCTTCCGAGGAGAATGGATACAAGTTTACAATATAATCACCTCAGTGTTCATTTACATTTGTGGTTTGAACAACTCACTATCAACGATCATGCTTAAGGCTGAGAAGCTGAAGATACTAAAGGGAATTTTTTCACCTAAAAATAACACTGTTTTTCTTTCAGTTGGTGCAGTAAACATATTGCACATCTGTTTAATTGATAACAATCTATTATATACAGCCACAGCTCACAAAAATAAGCCACCGCCTTCCCTTACCATTTGGAGAGAGAGTGGTACGTAGCAAATGCTTTTTAGACACTGTTGAATGATCAGTTTTATTTCATGCTGCATATAAAAAAATTTAAATTGATTAACTAGTAATGGTTTAGTGGTCAACAGAGTTAGCCCTGTACCTTATTTGTATTTCAAATAGGAACTGTGGATAAATTGACTGGGAGAGGTCTTATGGTGACATGAATAGTATCCCTGCCTGAGTCAGACGCTCAAATCAGGACTTGATGGCCAAGGAAAGTGCATTCTTAACAGATTGCTATCCTGATAAAGTGTTAGCTTGTAAATCATTTCAACATTTGCCCATGGCAGGCAATAGGACCAGGAAAGATTCCTGGTCAGCTGTGTGATGGAAAGAAATGTGAGCCTCTACCATCGCTGTCTCTTGTTCCACGTTACAACATGCATGTAAAAGATTATGTTGTCACATGTCTGTTGGGGAGTATGGTTGGATAAGTTGGCTGGATGGCTATCTTGGATGAAATTGGTGCCAATACCATGGGATTTGATCCCCTTTGCAGCTGGGTTGGATCCAGGACTTGCCTCTTCATCCTGCCTGTGGTGAAGTGGTGGACCTGCCTTTTGGCAGAGAACTATGAAGAAAATAACTTGGCATCATATTTCTGGCATTACAGAGCTACACTTAGTAAGCAACCATTGACTGTAAATTAATTAGAGCATCCTGAGGTTGGGAAAGATGCTCTTTAAGTGCAGGTCATCCTTGTCTTTCACATCTGCAACCAGACATATATATAATGTAGACTAAGGTGGACAATCCATATATAATCCAATGTAAAAACAAGCTTTGCAATTACTCTCTGTGATATATAAAAGTCCTCTGTCTGTTAATTTAATGCAGGTAAGTACATTTATTTTACTATCTGTACTAAAGTAGCAAATTGAGAAATGTCAGTTGATAACATACAATTTTGTACATTCTAAGCTGCACAATACAGACACAAAAACAAGAATTTCTATTGTAATTTTCATGACCTCAGGACATTCTAAAATGCTTTCCAACCAATTGGGTGTTTGTTTTGACGTGTAGTTACTGTTGTCTAGAAAATGCAGTAGCTGTGTTGTGCACAGAAAGATCCCACAGATCAGATGAATCGTTTGACGGTGTGGTTGAGGAGTAAATATTGGTCATGACTCTGGCAAGAAGCCCCAGCTTTTCTTCAAATAGAGCAATGAAATCTTTTATATTGACCTAATGTCCGATCTGAAAGTTGGCAAGGCTGAGAGAGCCCTCTGCACTGCACTGGAATGTCAGCCTGGGTTATGCACTCAGATCTCGACAATGGGACTTGAATCAACCTCATGGTTACCATCAATAGGTTACTATTGAGCCATGACTGGCACCTTGCAGTTATATATTATTTAAAACATCCTTCAGAAACATCTCAAACAGTTCTTCCAATGTAATGAATTTCTTTGACTGTTATGAGGGTAACATGGGTTAATTAATTACGGACAAACATGCAACATAGTTTTCACACATTCAATGTGTAAAGAAACACAGGGAATAGCCAATTCGCTCCCAGATAATCATACAAATGTAAATCCATTTCCAGCTTATCATTAGATTTGTCACTTGGATTTTTTTAAAATTGTGCAAATCCTTAATAAAAACACTGCTCAAAATGTTGATTTTCATTTGAAAAATATCAGGGTTGTTTTCAAACAACCACACATTTCTGAGAAATAGAGGAAGACTTGCGTTAATAATACAGCACATTTCTCTCCCTCAGGATGTCCAAGAGTAATTTACAAACAATTAAGAACTTAGTCACTGTCGTAATGTCAGAAACATGACAGCCAATTTATGTACAGTCAGACCCACAGAGAACAGGAAATAATGATAAATTAATTTCCTCTAAAAATGTTTGTTGAAGGATAAAAATTGGCCAGGACACTGGAGAACAGCCACCTGTTCTTCCTTTAAACATTGCCATGAGACCTCTAACATCCATCTCAGAAGAGAGATAAGGTCTAGCTTAGCAGAACATTCCATCCTAATTGAACGACACCACATGCAGCGCTCTGGTAGAATGACACTGTGGTGTCACCTTAATTTTTGGACTCAAGTCCCTGGAGTGAGCCTTGTTCCCATAGCCTTCTGCCTTTGTGGTAAGATGGCTACTGACTGAACAATAGCTGAGAGTTCTAATACTGATCAAGCCTAAATGTGTGTTTGAGTGCTGTGAGGTCAATACCTATAGGCCCAATAAGACCAGAAATAATTTCTGTTTTTCTTCTTCTCTTTACAGTCTCTGCAAGATGGCTGCCTGTTTAAACATTGCCTATACTTTGCATGCTTGTTTGGCCAGGACACAACGCCACTGGAGTTATTCTTGGTCCATCTATTCCAAACCTACCCCGAGCAGCATTAAAGAGCTTTTCATCCTGTTCCTATTCTGTTTGAGTATCACCAGTGCTGCTGGTGGTCTTCTATATTATTGGATGTCACACACACTCCAATACAAAGATGATCTGTCTGGTATAGCTGCAGGCAGCCTTACCTCCATTATCGTATTGCTTCCGTTTCTGGTGCATCCTGCCTGGTGTGTTTTTACTTTGGTAATACCAACACTGGGCACCAAAGTTGGTCGAAAGTTACTTCTGACTGGAATATGTTTACTCATTGCAGCGAATGTCGTCCCAAACATTGTCCAAAATATTAAGATGTTGCGAGAACTTTCTCAGTGTATTATGAGGAGTGCAACAGAAAACATCTTAAATTCTACTCAAGTAGTATCTCAGGCAATGGATGCTTGGAAAATCAAGGAACTAGATTTCATTTTTTCAAACCAGAGAGTAAACTTAAACCATCAGATAGACCACAGACATATTGAAAATATTTTGACAGAAGTCAGTCAGAAGATAAACAGTGAATTTTACAGTATACAAGTGTGGATGGATCGAGCCAAGTTGTTGGTTAACAGGGGTCTTGCAGGCTTTCTCTTCTTTAATCTGATTGCAGCATCATTTTGGTACTTGGCTCATTACCTGACTGATTTAGAATTTGACAATGGCTATCTCACCACGGACCTGGAGAAACTGGCCAAGAGCAACCCCACCAATTGTGACACGTTTCTGGCTGCTGCTGGAATGTTAACGAAAACGACAGGATTGAAACTGTCTCAAAAAGAAAAGAAGTGTCTAGTACACATGGCAATGATCACCGTATACCTAGTACTGTCTGCAGCAGTAATAGCAGCAGATTATGGCATCTTCCACCTTGTGAGCAGCCTGACAAAGTGGACGGAGAATGTTCCGTGTTTATCTGTGTCCCATGATCTCAACATTGTTGTGAGTTGAACTCTACTTGGTACACACGAGATGAAATTAATAACTAATCTGTTTGATGTAGCACTGGGCTCTGGGTTTTCTTCAAAAGCTTTGACATCTAACTAGATCAATGAAACAGGGAATTAAACATCAGTGTAATATCTCAGCCAAGAGATATCACCTCATAGAATCATGCACTACGGAAGAGACCCTTCGGTCCATTTAGTCTATACCACCAAAAATATATTACTACCTACACTAGTCCCACTTTTGCACACTAGCCTCTAGCAAGGCAGTATTCCTTCAACTTAGCAGTACAGTCAGTTTAATCTATATATTCAGGTTGTAGAGTGGATGGCTAAAGCTCCTGCCAAATAAAGAGACCCTGAGTATGAAATTTAGTGGTCTTCTTGTCAAAAAAGATTACCTTAAGAAAATGGGGAGCACCATATATCAGATGGAATAACTTCCATCTGAAAAATAGAATACAGTGGAAACTGGAAATCTGAAATTAAAGCTGGAAATACACAGCAGGTCAGGCAGCATCTGTAGAGAGAGAGACAGAAACTTTCATCAGAACAGGGAACAGTTAGAGAGATAATAGGTTTTAAGCAAGGGGTGGGTGGGACAAAGGAGAAAAGAACAGCACAGGAACAGGCTCTTCGGCCCACCAAAACTGCGCCAGCACATGATGCCTTTCTAAACTAAAATCCTTCTCCCTCTATGTGGTCTGCATCCCTCTACTCCCTGCTTATTCACATATCTGTCGAGATGCCTCAAACATTGTTATTGCATCCTTCTCCACCACCTCCTCTGGCAGCACATTCCAGGCATTTACCACCCTCTGTGTAAAAAATGTGCCTCTCACATCTCTTTTAAACTTACCCCTTTTCACATTAAACCGATGCCCCCTACTAATTGGCATTTCTACCCTGGGGAAAAAAGACTCTGACTAACTATTCTATCCTTGCCTCTCGTAAGTTAGTAAACTTCTAGCAGGTCACCCCTCACCTTTTGACGAACAAGTCTGTGACAGTGAGGAAAACAGGGGAGATTGAATGAAGGAAGAGTTAGGATAACGAGGAATGTTGATGGAGTCAAGAAAAGAAAGAAACAAATTTCAGATGAGGCTTGAGCAGGTGTGATGCTGACTGGAAGCAACAATAACAGAGAAAAAAAAACCAAAGAAAGGAACCAAACTAGGGAAGGGGAGGAGGAAACAGAGTTTATTGTCTGAAATTATTAAACTGAATATTGTTGAGTTCACCCGTTCTTATGCAGATCCTTTGTTTTTTTACACACACGTTTTCCATTTCCCTTTGACCCTGAAAGATTAACCCTCTGTCACTGAAACTCTCCTGTCTTTCACCTTGTCATGGGT